GGGCTGTCAGCACATGTACAGCCCTTACAGTCATGGTTAGATTAAGTGGATTTAGGATGAATGATGGCCTCATTTTTAACTGACTGCCTTGGTCTATTTGCCCTATTAAGTGTTTGTCCCATGAATACTGTGCTGTGAAGTTAACGTCAGGGCCCTGAGGGCATCATTGTATTTCAGCTTTCTCCTCACTTCTTGTCTGCCTTTACTGATGTCCAGCTCTGGCATGGTGCAGCCATTAACCTGTGTTTGTAGTGTTGGGGTGCCAGAGGCTTCCCATCACTTGGGAGCCGTGCATCAGCTCAGCCCCACTGGTTTGTCCTTGTGCCCTGACTCCCAGCTCCTCAGCCAAGCAACCAGCTGTTGCCACTTGCCGGTATTTGGTGGATGTGCAAACTGGTTCAGCTCCCAGTTAGCTTAGTGCTGCATGGCTCGAGTCTGGTTGTGTGCTGCTCTACTTCCAGGTCCTGAAATATTACATTGCCAGTACCACTTAACTGTGGTCTAACAGGAGAATCTAGAAAATTGTCATGAGAACAGCTTTGTGTCAGCCCTGTCATACTTTCAGGTTAACAAAAAAGGACAGGGAAGTAAATGCCTCTGCAATGGTGAACTTTCCTGAACAGTTTCTTTTCCCTCTTTTCCCATGTTCTTTCTTACTTGACTTAAGTTTGTTCATGTTATGTTATGGCTCATTCACTTCTGAATGTACTTTTACTCCATCTGCTCAGGAAGTTTATTTTCCTTTTGTTTTTATATTGAAGTACACAGATGTATCAGAAATCCAGCTTAATTGCTCTGCAACGGTTAAATTGTCTATGTGGATAAAAAGAGGGAGAGGGACTTTTTATATGGGCAGATAGTAATAGGACAAGGGGCAATGGTTTTAACTGAAAGAGGGCTGTTTAGTTTAGGTATTAGGAAGAAATTAGGTTGGTGAGGCAGGTTGCCCAAAGCAGCTGTGGATACCCATCCCTGAAAGTGGTTAAGGCCAGGCTGGATGGGGCCCTGAACAACCTGATTTAGTGAATGCCATCCCTGCCCATGACAGAGGGGTTGGAACAAGATGATCTTCAAAGTCCTTTTCAACACAAGCCGTTCTATGAAACTGAAGATGCAGAATGAAGATGAGAATAAGCAGAGTAATAATAACCCAACTGGTTATATTTTCTTTTTCATAATAGAATTCAAAGTGATATCTCTCAAGATTAGACTTTGCTAATATCTGTAGGCATTTGCTTTGAACAAGCTGTTATTTGTAGGGAACTAAAAAATCTAATTTCCAGTCTTCTTTTCTAAAGACAGCTTTACAGTCTAAAATGCATCCCTGATTAATAGAATTTCTCAAGAAGTATGATATTTTCATACATCTATACACACTGGAAATACTGTGCAGCTGAAGAAATTACCCTTTTTTCAGGAGAAGAGACACAAATTAGGACAGGATAGGTAATTTTTCAGCCATCTATCTTCTCAAAACACACTACCAGCATTGAGTTGAACCCCACAGCATCATACCTTCTAGAGACTGAAAATAAGAAAGCATGAACAAAATGGGTAGTGGTATTTGCCAACGTGTTCTGTCTGATTCCGATTCTATACATTAGTGTGCATATAAATGATATTTAGGTTTCCTCTGAAGACCTGCTGAAATAGAAACTCCTTTGGCAGCCTTGCAGCTTTTATGGCTCCAGGGAAGTCTTGTGAAAAATGTAGCATACAGAACAGAATCAGAAAACTTTGTAATGGTAACCAGACATTTGGACAGTAGTATGACTTTTGAGCTGAATCTCATACTTTTTTTTGTGAAACAACTGCTTCTGTGAATCTTTATTGAATGTCATTTAAGTGAGCATTTGCATGTACAAAATATATCAGGCATAGTGAAATATGATATGAGGCTTCTGATGAAGTTTCTCAGATTTACTAGTGAATTATTTTATTTCTACAGACTTTGTAAACTGTCTTGTAGAATGACATTTTTGTTGATAAGCATTTGTGAGTGGCTTAATACAGGGAAATAAAAATGAAAAGCATTCTAAAGGTCCTTCTGGTATTTCTTTTGACGTCAAAAACAGAGTTTTCCTAAGACCTGAGTTAGAGTGGAGGCAATGCTAGATAAGCTAATCCTTCTGAATTAAAACATCATATGGGAATGTTAGGAATATTTGTTTCATTTTAGCACATTTTAGAGATCTCAAAAATGCCTTCTTTTTCTAATTTTCCTCTTCTGGACTCTTGACTCCAGACTTCCTGTCATGTTAGTTAGAGAAACTCAAGAATTTAGCGGCAGCTGTTGATGTGACCTAAGAAGGGCTTTGTACAAGGTGGAAGTACTGTGGGTGCTGTCACACTTCTTGGGGCATGCATGTAGGAGCCAATGGTACCCTGAGCACCATTGGAAGTACCAGCTCTTGTCTTCTGCTACAGAAGAGTATCCAACAACTTTTGGTATTCTCTACTGAGTCTGGAAAGTACTGGCTAGTAGTCAGACAATTATTTTCCCTTTCTCTTTGTCTGCCTGGGCTGGGCTTTTGCCTGGCTTTGGGGTCCAGAGAAAAAAAGAGCATGCAAATACCCTAAATCCTTTGGTTGCATTTTTTCATGGCATTTCACAACTTCTTGCTGTTGTATTTATTTTAAGTTTAGGCCTAGAATAGGATACTTGAAAGGCCATTTTCTTGAAACGTAGAATTTCACAGCATTTTTGGAAGTAATTTTCTTCTCTTGAAATATCTTGTGTGATGTTTGCACAGCACAAGATAAAAATGTCTCCTCTATCTTCACACTTCCTTCTGCTGGATGAAAACAGACATAATTACTTGACTATCTTTATATGCAGCTTTTATTTCTATCTCCTTTTCTTAAGTCTTCTCATGTTTCCTGATTCCAGTACAGCCTCTGCATCACTAATTGATCCATCTTCATCAGGTTGCTATCTGATTAAATGATTGTCACAATGTATAAATACAATGTTTACTGGAAAACAGCATTTTAAGAGATATTGTTCACTTTAAGTTTTTAATAATGGCTTTTTGCTGTGAACTGTACTAATCTTTAATCTGTTTGGCTGCTTTTTTTGCAGGAAAACAAAAAACGGATCTGAGAGTATTACCTCCAGCACTGTTTTGATCTCCTTGCTTCAGTCTCTGGCTATTATTGGTGCAGTCAAGTATGTGGCTAGTGAATTCTGGAAAATTGGTTGTCTGGGATGTTGCTGATGTCATTCAAATACACTTTGTATGTTTTTGACTGTACTGGTGTGCACATTTCCAGAACTTTTCAGAAGTATTTTGAGTTTTGGCAAAGGTCTTCATGGTCATGGACTAATGTCTGGTCGATTTTGCCTTTGATGGTGCTGAAGTCATGAGCAGAGCCAGCCAGAGGCTGCCTGTCAGTTTGTTTGCAGAAACTTCTTACTACCATTTCTGTTTCCCAGCAAGAACTTTCCAGGTTTATGAGCAAAATTGTGATTTTTTGCAGGACCTATGTCTGTCTGAGCACTTCGGCTGTGCAGTGATACCTAAAGTATCAGGAAGACATCCCCATCCCAATTTTCCTGCATGCAAGCAAGTTCATGTCTTTTCTAAGGCCTTGTGTGGATGATAAAGCTATGGCTTTGCTTCTTCTCCCGAGACTGCAACAGTATCTACATTGTAGCTTTAAGGAAATTTTAATTATTTTGGAAATGGTCTTTCTAGTTCTGATCACTCTAAAAAATGTAGCCAAGCAAGAGTATAATCTGTTAAAACAAAAGTCAGTCAGCCAGCCTTTGCTGCTCAGCTTTTGCTACCAATCTGTTACGCCTGTCACAACAAGTTGACAGATTGTCACAATAAATGGCACAAGTTTAGGATGTTGTTTTGTGTAGCCTTCATATGAAGTACTTGGAAACACATTTTAGTAGAGGAGTATAATTAAAGTACAGAAAATGAATTCTGAAAGAGGGGAATAAGTTACACAGCAGTATAAAATTCTTAGAATGGTATTTTTTATTATTTTTTGTTTACTTGGGGGACTGCAAATTATCACAAGTGGTTGTGAATACTGAGGAAATAAATAAATATTGATAACGAACTTATTGCCTGAAAGCAAACTAGGAATGTGAATATTTCATTTACTTGCTCAAGTTACTTGATGATTACTACCCCTAAGCAAGTTCAGATAGTGCAGCCTGCCACATATTCACCCCATAAGAGGAAGAAAACCTGGTGTCTGTTCCAAGGAATGAAAATGCTTAGCCATTGGCATATTTTCAGTAGGTATTCCTGTTCTGTCTGATTTTCCACAGAGATTTGATGCTTTTCTTTTCCTTCTTTTTTTACATCCTGAAGTAGTCTCTGGGCAGAGATGTAATTTTGGTTTCAGTTCTCAGTCCTGATGCATCAATGTCCCTTTAAAAGTTCTGTTACCATGTGTCCAACCTATGTGGACTATACTGCTATTGCTTGTGAATTTTGACTCATTTGGCTTGTTAAATCCAAATCTTTCTGAAACCATTCTGCTCTAAAATCACCTTCATATCTGTCCTGAACAAGTGTGTTTGAGATTGCTCAGAAAATCACCAGCAAGGGTATGAGCAAAAGTCAGATTTAATATTAAACTACAAAGCACAACAGATTCATTGGCAAGATTCACTCTACTTACAAAGGGCAACTGAGGCACTACAAGAAGGAAAGTGTTGTGATGTGTTATTATATTGTTGCTCTCCCCCCAACATTTTTCCCAATGTTGTTCCCCCCCTTTTGTCGTGCTATTAGTTGCTCAAGTTCCCGCCTTCTCTCTGTCAATCTGCCCTTGTCCCATTCCCTTTTTCCAGACAGTTCCCTATCAGTCTCCCAAACCCCCTCCCATGGCGTTGTCAATCCCCTAACTCCTCCCAAACTTCCAGAATGTTCTGTGTCAGTTACCTTTACCTCGGGACATTATTTGTTGATATATGTTGTTCCCGCCTAGGTTTTCCCTCATTGGTTAATTATGTATTCATCCCCGCCTTGTGTTCCTCCTTCAAAATACCTTGATTGGTTGAGGCCTTGTACCCTCCCTCAGCACCTCCCCTGTATTTAAGTCGCTCTCTGCTGAGTTTTTCTTTGGCTGTATTCGCTTCTTACTGCTGATTCATCTCGGACCCTACAATGAACCTCTTCCCTGGATCAACCGGAGGACTCCCTCTTGTCCTTTACCTCTCCCGGACGTGGGCACTCCCAGAAGGGCCTCGCAGCCGCAGCTGCATCTCTGGTATGTCTGTGTCCGGAGAGCGGCCTGCTCGCGGTGTCGGCGCCTGCGGTCAGCAGCCGGCTGGGCAGGCCGCTGGGCCACGCAGACTGGACGCAGGTGGGCCGCGTCAGCAAAGCAACAAAACCAAAAAATCCCAGGCAACTAAAACAGAAATTAATTGAAACGACATAAGAATATGTGTGTAAAGACAGTGTAAATAAGAGTAATAAAATGGGCACTAAAGCTTAACAATATTTAAACTTAACAGTACTTTAATGTAACTTATACCTTTACAGTCTAACCGAGAAATAACAGCATTTATACTAAGTTATAACTAAAACTTAACCTAACTTCCAGGTTTGCTATAGCATATGTGCAAAGAGTATGCACGCAGATGTAGTCAGTACAAGATAAGGTACCTGTGGAAAAACTCCCCTCAGAGGTCGGAGAAAACACTCACCTCGATGCTTTTGCATCTCCCAACGGGCCCCATTCTGAACTGCTGTTTATAGAGTGGCAAGGGAGTGGACTTTAGTCACAACAGTGTTTCATCCTGGCCACAGTTTGGGTTGGCACTTTCTTTGAAAGTGTGAGAATAGAAATGTTATGCCATTCAGAGCAAAGGAATATTTTCCAAGGCTGGTCTTGGAAAAAATAGAAGCTTGTTAGGAGTTCCTGAGTGCAGGCTGTGCTTTTTGACAAGCTCAGAAAGAGCTGAGCCCAGGTGGCATTTTCAAGGACGAGGCTTAAAAAGCATTCTCTCAGAGAGTGCTGCAGCCTGGAAAGGAGTTAAGGGGGAATGCACCACTACAATATTTCAAGCCATCACTGTCAGCAGCATGGGCCATTTGTCATTCAGACCCATGACCTTGTTTCAGCCTTGATTCTTCCTCATCTTGAGTCATTGCTACCTCTTGTTCTAGTCAAATGCTTTCAGACGGACTATTCTTTACCTTACTCTACACAGAGGACTTCCCATCCGTGGTCATGGCTTTCTGCACATGCACATTTTTCTTTCTCGCAGGAGGTGAATGCCCACTGATTTCCCGTCCTTCTGACTGTGTCATTAGTGTTTTGGCAAATCTCAGTAGTTCCCATTTAATTACTTTTATTTGACTTCTTCATGACTGTGTCAGTTCTTCTTCCCACTGTACTTTTCATCATTCAGTACCTCCTGCCCTGTCTGGTGCTGTATTAGCTCACTATGCCAGTGTGTGCCAGTTTTGGCACCCCTCTTTCTCTCTTTTTGTTCTTTCTCAGTTTTCTATGTTAGTACACAAGCCCCTGAAGCAATAGAGCTTTCATTGCATTTCACTGAAAATTTGAATTTTCAAAGATGTGGGCAAAATTTGCAGTTCAGAGGGTGGCTAAAATACAGATTATCAGAATATCATTAGGTTCTGATAGGGCCAAAAGATGGTCCAAATGCTCATCCCTGCAGGCTGGAAAAAGAAAAGACCTGCCAGTATTCTGCAACTGGTGTCATTGGAGAAGTGTTTCTGGAGTGCACAGTCACCTAACTCCTCTCCTGAAATGCTTGCCTTTCACTTGTGCCAGCCTGACTGCAATGCAGTGTGAGGGTGGAAAGCTTTTACCTTTTGGGCTTGGCATATTGAAGTAGTTACCAGAAATGATAAAATAGCAGCATTTCATACTAAAAATGCTGTTGTTTATACTAGACTTCTATACATTATTACGTTGCAGAACTTTGCCAAAACAAGCAAAAATTATCGTTTTTCCAAATTAAAGAAGAAAGATAATTAATTATTTTTGTACAAGGAAGGAACAGAAACTGGGTACACCATATTATGTAGTTAGCTTTTAAAATCAATGCAATTAAAAAAAAATAACACAAGTGGATTAATATTATCATTGTTCATGTATGCATACACAGAGACAAATTTTCAAGCCAAATAATTATATCACAGACAAAGATTTTGAATTCCCTTGGTTATTTTATGGTTTTGCAAAGAACAAACACCAGGACTGGACCAAGCAACCTATATACACACAGCACTATTAAAATGCCTGCTCGTGCCAGGGGGTTCACTACTGTGGATGACCCTTGCAGAGGCAAATAGTTGGGAAAAATTTGTGAAGATATCTCCTCACTAAACCAGTTCAGCCTGCACGGGTTAGTGTACAAATCACCCTATTCAGCACTGCTCTAAGATTCAAAACTTAGGACAAAGTTTCCAGGGGCCTTCTTTGTCTTGGTTAAACACTGGCCGTCTCTCTGTTCTGAGTCAAACAGCTGCAGCACGACTTCTCAGCCATTTTGTTCAAGATCTTACAGGCCATACTGTGGTGTTTATCAAGAGAGGTGCTGCTTGTTGCAGAGGTCTTGTCCTCCTCTCAGGCAAGAGTCCAAGCCAGCAGAAAAGACATCCCCACCATTTTGGTGAAATGAAGAATGAAACTGAAGGATGAGCTGAACCATGATGTTGAGCCAAAGTCAGAGTCTTGAGACACATCACTCTGGCTCCTTGACCAGGGTCTGAACCAGAGGAGGTTTCCTTATGACCTGTCTCAAAGAGAAACTGCTTGAAATGACAGGCAGCAGAAATGCTGAGATTCAGTTTAGTAAAATTAGTACTCATGGTAATGCAGTAGAGCAGTCAGTTTCATAGAACATCAAGAGAAAAATACAGTTCATGGATAAAGAAATCCAACGAAACAGGTGAAGAATGAATCTATTAATTTACATACTCATACTTAAATACTGACATGAGTTTAAGTAAGTTCCTAGGAAATAATGAACTACAGGCAATGGCATTTAATCTGGTGGTGGGATTCTAAAGAAATTAAAGTATTTGATTGAAAAACATTTGAATAATTTAATTGAATGTTCAGTAGAAAGAAAGAGTGGCTCTTCAGGCCTGGTGCTTAGATTTCTGAAATCAGTGGAAATGGTGCTATATTATTATATATTAATATTATATTTGGTATAATCAG